AGTCGAAGCGTTTCGACCAAAAGTACACACTCGCTGTTTGCAAAGTGCCTGGGACATCATAAAGTCTAGCTTGGCTTGAATGGACGCTTTTAGCTCAAAGAACTGAGCTTGAAGCAAAATTGGGACGCCTCTTTGAAACGTTTCGGTCCAGCTTTGCAAACCGCGAAAAGTCTCTCGCAGGTAAGCAAGTATAAGTACGTTTGTTTCGGCGAAATAAGAATCTAATTTCATAAAGTTTGTTCCCAAATTTTTTCTTGCGTGAAGACTTCAAAAAAAAAACCTTCTATTTGCAGGGGACCGGTTTCCCGCACAAATCTTGACAGAATTACCCAGAATGCAATGCGAAAAAGCTGCCTTCCCCTTCGGTAGAAGTGCATTGGAGAGACTGGAGGAAGGAAACAAGGTGAGTTTCGGGGCGGTGCGTAACTTTGCTGGCTGTTTTTGTTCAAGGCCTGTCTGCTCTATTGTGTCTAAAGTCCTGTTCGTTTGTATTTGCAGGTTGTGCGTGCCGTGCCGTGCTGTGCTATGCGCGCGAAGGGAAAGGAAATGAAAGGAAACCAACCGGCCGATCGACCGAGCGAGCGAGCGAGCATAGAAGGGCATTCGACTTGGACCGTGAGTACACTTTGAACCTTTTGAGCGGTTTTATTGTCACTGGAGCCGCTTTTAGAAATGCTATTGCTATCGTTAGTTTATCCTTTGTGCGAGCAAGCGAGTGAACGAATGAACGAGGGAAGGAAATAAACTAGCAGAGAAGTAAAAGTATCGAACCTTTTTCCCGATTCGTTTGCAGTTTGAATCCAACCATTGTCGACTTTCAGTGCCGCTTTTCGCGCGCCTCCTCTTGGAAGTGTGCGAGTGTTTTGCCATGTCACGATGGCTTAAAACTGCGTCTCAGAAGTGTGCGTTTTTTCCTATTCATTTTTTCGTTCGTTATTTCGAGTGATTTGATATCACAGAGGTAGAATTTGACATCATAAACTGTTCATCTCGCGCGTGCTCACTCGCTCGCGCGCGCTCTGTAAGAAAAGTTGATCGCACTAGAGTTTTCGCCATTAGCTGGCCGATTTTTGACAAAAAGGTGTTTTCCCCCCCTCGTTTTTTGCTTTGATTTTGTTCCTCACTCACCTACGGCTCTCTATGTGAAATTGTGGTGTATGGAGAGCTATTTATTGGGATAAAACGTTTACAGATGTTCGCAAGACACAAAATGAAGCCTACATCACGGGGTATTCCCAGGCGGTCACCCATCCAAGTACTAACCCCGCCCGATAGGGCTTAACGTCGGTAATCAGACGAGAACCGGTGCTTTCCCTGTGGTATGGTCGTAGACGAGGAAACGGGGTCGAAATTGTGCTTGTTATCGGCCAGGTTCAGGCTGTAAAGCGGCCACATCCTTGAGTGTAGGCGAATTTGAAATTCTAAAGCCCTAGTTTCGTTACTCTAACCCTAAGAAATTGATACTCTAACCCTAAGAAATGGTTACCCTAACCCCGAAGTCGTTACCTAACCCTAATGTATTTTCCTCCACCCAGTTAACACATTGAGGAGCATCGATTTGAAGTACTATTCCCTAGGGAGGGGAGGGAGGGGTCCCTAGAGACATAACGTGTCCTAAAAACCTATCATACAATGTTTGAGGTCCGTAGGTGTGTGTATCTGGCTTTAAAATCTTACAGTGAGGAGATACCAAACGGGTCAGCCTCTGGGACCGTCTGCGGGACTCGCAAGGGCTTGTGGGGGCGACCTGCTACTATCCACCATAAACCGTGGGAAGGATCCCTCGACCACCCCCCTCACCCAGGGCATGCTTCGGCATCGCTTCTCGGCCTTTTGGCCCGTGATTGTCCGTCTCCTGTGTTGTGCTGTATCTGTAAGGAGGAAGGCCATATGGGGATCAAATGTATGTATTCTTGGTTCTGTTCGACGGTCTCTCCAACCGACGAGCAGGACGATGTCGCGGTGGAATCTGATGACGATGATGGTTTGAGCGATTGCTCGTATGGTCGTATGGCCCCTTTATTCTCTGAAACTTCTCCCCCAGCTGATGTGCCCGCTGACGAAAGTTCTTCTCCTCCCGATGCTGTCCTCTCTGACTCTAGCGACTCGCCTTTGGTTTCTTCGCCCGATTCTCCGATTCTTAACTCCGATGGCCTCGTAAACTCAGTTCAATCTGTGCCCGATCCGCCGCGGCATCGAATTCCTGCTCTTCTTCCTGACTCTCTCTCGACCGCTTCCAGACGTTCCTCTTCACCTGTTACTGCAAAACCGACGCCTTCTCCTCCTTCACAACCTGTTCCCGATCCTCCTTCGTCGCCCGACCCCTTGGATTCCGACATGAATGTCACCGTCGATTTGAAGAGGAAATCGGCGGACGCGTCTCCGAAGCGTACAAAGAAAGGGAAGAAGAAACCTGCTAATAAGTGAGTTTAGTTATCATGCGTGAGTCTTTTTTTCCAAGAGTTTTCTTTTCAAGCTTCTAACTGTTAATGCAAGGGGCTTTGCTAACTCCCTTACTCATAATCTTTTGTTTGATTTGATCGAGTCTTCCAACTGTGATGTTTGTTTTGTTCAAGAAACTTTAGTCAGTTCTGAATCCACTATTAAATCCCTGTCTCGTAGATGGCTGGGCCGCTGTTTTTGGTCTCCGGCCTCTGGTAGACAGGGTGGTGTGGTCACTTTGATTTCGTCGAAATGTTCAGATGAAATTGTCTCTTGGAAAAAAGACTCACACTGTCGTATTGTCAGTATTTCGATCAGGAGCAACGATGTAGATGTTAATTTAGTTAATATTTACGCTCCCACTAATCTTGCAGAGCGAAAGATTTTCTTTGACTCTCTTCACGAATTTTTTTATTCCTTCCGATGCAATCATCATCGGAGGGGACTTTAATTGCTACGATAATGCTCTCGATAAGTTTGGTGGAAACATTTCTATTCACAAAGAATACGAGTCGTTGAAAAATGATTTTGCCCTTGTTGATGTTTGGCGTAATTTGCATCCCGGCTCAAGGGAATTTACGTGGTTCAATTCGTCCCGCTCCATTAGGAGTAGATTAGACAAGTTTTTAGTCTCAAGGGAGTTGTTGTCACCCGGCGTGGAATGCAACATCTCACCTTGTCCAATTTCCGATCATGATTTTGTTTCTCTTGTTTTCGATATTCCCACTGGGGCCAAACGCGGCCCGGGTGTGTGGAATTTTAATAATTCCCTTCTGAAAGATAAGGTTTTCTGTACTTCTATTGAAAAATTGATTGATTCTCATCTACGTTTTTTACCCTCTTTCGCGAGTCTTCAGGATTGGTGGGAGTTTTTGAAACTGTCCATCAAAGAGGAATCGATCGCCTTTTCGCGTACTAAACGGAGGCGTTTGCGTAAAAAGCAAGTATCTTTCACGAATAAGTTAATTCGTCTTCGTCAACGTTTAGTTGATGGAGATAAGGTCCGTACTTGTGCCGTGTCCTTAATGCTTGTTATCGTGCTGGGGAGATGTGTGAATCTATGAAGACAAGTAATACGCGCGTCATCTTTAAAAAAGGTGACCGTAAAAACTTGAAAAACTGGCGACCGATTTCTCTTCTGAACGTCGATTATAAAATCTGCTCCAAAGTTCTTTCTCTTCGCCTTTCTAAAGTTCTAGAATTTATCGTTGATCCTGATCAAACCTGTTCCGTGCCCGGACGTAAAATTGCATCGAATTTGCACATCCTTAGAGATGTGTTAGATTACATCGATCGCACTAATGAGACCGGTATTTTGATTAGCCTTGACCAAGAGAAAGCCTTCGATCGTGTCAATCGCACCTTTTTGTTAAATCTATTGTCTCGTTTCGGTTTTGGTCCATCCTTTTTTTTTTGGATCAATACCTTATACAATGGCGCTAATATGCGCATTATTGTGAATGAATGGTTGTCGGACACGATACCTTTATCCCGCGGGGTGAGACAGGGAGATTCCCTGTCTCCCTTGTTGTACATTCTTTGTGTTGAAACTCTTGCGTGTAAAATCCGAAATAATCCAGATATCGAGGGCTTTCTCCTTCCGAGCGCACGAGGTTTGTTATAAAGTTGGTGTTTATGCTGACGATACGACCTGTATTGTTAAGTCCTATCGTTCTCTTCAGGTTTTGTTTAACATGATTAATGTGTACGGGGGTGGATCTGGAGTTCGTCTCAATATCGCAAAAACTGAGGCCACGTGGCTGGGAGCATGGCGTTCACGCGGCGACCAGCCGCTTGGCCTCAAGTGGGTGACGAAAATGAAAATTCTAGGCGTTGTTTTTGGCTTCGATACCGATGCCGATAATTGGCGACCGAAACTCGAGAAATTAGAGAAACATCTTAATCTCTGGAAATCTCGTTCCCTCTCCCTTGTCGGTAAATCACTTATAATCAATGTGTTGGGAATTAGCAAACTTCTTTATCTCTCTGCTGTTTTGTGTGTCCCTAAATGGGTTATTTCAAGAATTAATAATTTAGTCTGGCCTTTCCTGTGGGGATCCCGCATTGAAACGGTGAGCCGGATGACCTGCCACCAGTCCCTCGGGAAGGGTGGTCTCGGCATTTTTAACTTTCAGATCAAAAGTGATTCTCTTAAGTTGGCTTCCCTCATTTCTATTCTCGATGATCGCGAGTCAAAGTCCTTTTTCCTAACCAAATATTTTCTCGGTTCTAGACTTGCTTCCTGCCGGCCGGAGTGGCGCTCTCTCCGTGACAACTCCACTCCGAGTACGCAAAATTTGACACCCTATTACGAGAAATGTTTTTTGATTCTCGCCTCCCTTCGCGGGATCGTTTCCCGCCAAGAGTGGCGAGACTTTGTTTTCTCTTCCAAGAAGTGCTATTTAGCTCTCTTGAGAGAGAATTCTGCTTCCCCGATTCTCCATCGTTTTTGGTCTTCCTTTCTTCCGATAGATTTTGATCTCGACCGTTTCTGGGTTTCTGTGAGGGATGGGTTTTCCGAAAACTATAAGAACGAT